AAGGTCATTCTTTAGAGAATGAATGATCTGGATTGTAGTATAGGGAGGGAGCTGGCCCAACAGCTTGGGAGGGCGTGTAATCCCTAAGTCATCTATTGCTCAATAAAATTCTAATCAATCTTCAACAAGTTTCGATTAATTTGGAAATTTTATTGAACAATAGATGACTTAGAGGCTTCCACGAGACTTTAGAGTTCTACATTTTAGATCATTCATACCAGGATATATGTGTAGGCAAATTCTTGATAATAATAAAATTTTTAGTAATGTACTATTCTATTATTCTAACTATATATATATAATATTTACATTTATAACAGAATCATAATACATGTTATTATTTGTTTTCCAATAAGCTATCACTTAATGTTTGTGTTTGAATAGGTTTAAAATAAAATTTGTAAAAAGTTTGTGCTGAGCTCTAACCAGCTGTTTTAAGTATATTGTTTAATGGAATCCCATGTGCTGCAGCACTGGACGATGAAGCTGATCGACAGCTATGTGTCCCATACACTTTTATATCAATTCCTGCATTTCCTAATAATTGTTTTATCCAACGTGATATTGTACTTTTTGTTACAGTTTTAAAAGGTTTAACACATGAAATAAAAGGGACTTTTCCTGTCCCCTGAGTTTTGAAGTTCTTTTCAAATATTCTTCCATGGCTACAATAACACATAGTTTATAATCATCATGTCTATTAAATTCCAATGGTCCCATGTGCTTTCCTGGTTTGGACTGTTTAACTAAATCTACTATGTACACTTTCATGTTGTCATTAGAAATAGTAATATTATTAACATTAAGTTTTATCAAATGAACAGTTTGACAGCGTTGCGCACTAAGCAGCATAAGCATAAATGCTAGCTTTTGTGATAGTTGTAATAGTGTTAACTTCTCATTTGCTGGTAATGTTTTCAAATAATCTAAAACTATATTTACATCCCATGTTTCTGTATATTTGGGAAGAGAAGGTCTAGCATTGAAAATACCCCTCATATATCGAGTTACTAGTTTATGTTTTCCAATGTCTATCCCACTTGTCACAGAACAAATTGAAGATATTGCTGATTTAGCAGTGTTGATTGCACTGTAACTTAATCCACTGTCATAAAGTGATGATAAGAAGGACAACACAGTGTTTATAGATGGATCAAGTGGATCAGTTTGTTTTTTATTTGAAAAACACATCCATCTTTTGAAACAAGTCCCATATTGTTTTCCTGTGGATTGTCTCCAAGATTGTAAAATGATGTCAGCAGTGATTGTTGAAAGTCCTTTATTTTCCAAGTTTTCCCGGATAAGATAAAAGCTCCCAGTTGGAGGTTTGAAACTGGATGAATTCGTTTCAGATCCTGAGGTAGAAAGAGACTGTTTTTCGGCAGGATGTAGGATTGTTGGCTGATCTGATGTAATAATTGTGGAAACCATATTTGTGTTGGCCAAAGTGGTGCTATCAATACTGCTTTGTCTAACTTGTCCTTGATGGTTTTCTGGATCACCTGTCCGATGACACTGAAAGGAGGAAAGATATAATAAAAATTATAACTAGTCCACTTTATAGTAAAAGCATCAATTGCTATTGCATGTGAGTCTGGCTTATATGAAATATATTGAATTTTCCTATTGTTGAGCCTACTAGCGAATAAATCTATATCCATTGTCCCTACAGTACTCTGTAATTTTTCAAATAATTCTGTTTTTAATGTCCATTCCATGTCGTCATTCAATTTCCTTGATAGTTTATCAGCTTCTATATTCAGCTTACCAGCTATATGTGCCACACTAATCCATAGTTTACGTTCTAAACACCAAAACCATATTTCTTTTGCTAGAATATGTAAATTTGTAATTTTTCCTCCAAAATTTTCAATATAAGAAATAGCTACTGTATTATCTAAGTTCATTCGAATATGCTTTTGTGAAATATTTCCAGCCAATGATTGTAAAGTTAAGAAAGCTGCCTTTAGTTCTAAAACATTAATGTGCATTTCTCTCTCTTCTGCTGACCAAAACCTTTCTGTTTTCTTTCCAGTAGTTTTATTAATTCCACCCCAACCAGTTTTACTTGAATCACTGAACAGTATAATATCAGGATCATTTTGCATTATTGGTTTGTAACTAGAAGGAAGATGTTTTATCCACCACTTGAATATTGTTTTCACATGAGTTGGTAAACAAATAATCCTATCATAATTACCAAAAACATTTTTAACACTTTCTCTTTATATATTTCTAAATCTTTGTAATACAATTGAGCATATTGTACACCTGGTTCACTGGCAACCATTTTTCCTATAATTTTAGCAAAATTTCGAATAGTTATTTCCTTAGAATGCAATGCGTCAAAACATAGATCCTGTAAATTTAAAATTCTTTCTTGTGTCAATCTAACTGTCATATTTCCAGAATTAATTGTAAATTCTAAAAATGTTATTTCTTTTGTTGGTGTAAACACAGATTTCTTTGGGTGTACTGTAAAACCTAAACTGTCAACTAATTCCACAGTATGTTTTACATTGCTCTGACAGTCTTCATAAGTGCGTGCTATAAGTAAGCTATCGTCTATGTAAGGGACATTTATATGACCCATTTTTCGAAAAAAAAAATATACTGGTTTTAGTAATTTTGTAAAAATTCTTGGACTTGTTGATAATCCCTGTGGTAATACACAAAACGATTTCATTCCACATAAATTTTAAATATTTGCAGTCTTGTTCATGAACTGGTACACTAAAATAACTGTCTTTTAAATCAATCGATGCAAAGTAATCATTTTGTTGTATGTTTGTTAAAGCTCGAACCAATGTTTCCATTTTAAAATGAATTTTTGACACACTTTCATTGAAGTTTTTCAAATTCAATATCATTCGAATTGTATTGTCTTTCTTAGGGCTAATAAATATATTAGAAAAATATTCCTCTTTTTCTCTTTTCAATACTAGCCTAATAATACCCTTTTTCAAGAATTTATTAACTTCCATTGTGATCAACTTGTTTTCTTGTTCATTAAATACAATTGGAGATGGTCTAAAATTTTGTTTTGGGATTTCATCTAGTTCAATCTTGTATCCCTTCACTGCATTTAATATAAACGCATCACTTGTTAACTTTTCCCAATTTTTTATAAAAGATTTTAATTTCCCTCCTGTAAAATTGTCTACTGTGTTTATCACTGTTATATTATCACTTACACTTAACATTTGTCTTTGTTGTGAAATCCGGCCTTCATCTTCTTGTTCTTGTTGCCCTTCTTTACATGTATTTGTCCAGAAGTTTTTGCATGCTTTGGTTGGAAATTGGGTGGTGGTTTTTGCCATGGAGGTCCTGGACGTTTCTCCACTCTGCGTCCCTCTAAAAAAGAGTCATTAAAGCTAAGTTTATTTATCCTCCTGTCTTCTTTTTCAAGGTCCTCCAATTTTGTATCTAAATTGTCCCCAAAAAGGTACTCTGTAACTGGTGTGTCCACATCTGTTACCCTCCTATATGTAAGGGGAACTCCTGGCGTTATTAGCTGTTTGTGTTTTCTATTTGAGGTATATATGCCATGAGTTAACATTTTAAACATGTCTTTAGTTGTGTTTTTTTTACCTCATTCATGTCCCCTCCAGATTTCATTACATTCAGGGACTTGACTACCATTAGTAAAGTAGTTGTCATGCATTTTTGCACATTTTGTAGTGCCAAATCTGGATCCCTTTGCTTCCTACTTTTGAACCCTCTCCAAATCTCTTTGTTTACTTTGGGAACCTGTAGTCGTTTACAGTCTTCTGGAACCAAATATAGTTCTTCTAATTTTGTTAGTGTCTCTGTTTTCATTGGCTTATTTATAGCCTGGTCCACTAATTTTGCCATCTGATTATCAATACTGTCCCCAAATTTCTTTGGTTCTTCATACATTTTTTCTAGTTCGTCTAGAAATGCCTTATTCTCCGCATCGTCATTAGCGTCAACAATATCATCAATATTTAACTCATCATCGTCATCGTCGGATATATCTTCCAGGCCATTATCCGACAGATCACTTTCATTGTTATTGTTTAAAAGGTTAACCTCATTGTCATCTTTATCCTTTTGTGTATTAGTGTTTGATTTCGTCTTATGAACATTTTTCTGCATAACCGCGTCCTGCACAGTAAGCATATTTGCAGCCAAATTGGCAATGATCTCTGTATGAGATTCTATCTGCCGTTTGTTGACATCGGCCATGTTCGATATTTTATCCCACAATGCTTGCATTGTAATGTCATTTCCGGTTGACCTTTCCCCAATATCATTAATAGCACTTGGTCCTGTTTCATCAAAATCTTGTTGCACAGGCCTTTGTGGTGTTTCACTGGCTTTCCTAGTTTTTACTCGATAAATCTCACGAGTTCTTCTTTTGATTGCATCTATCATTTCCTCATCTCGAGGAGAATTGTCCATCTCGGACGTGTGGAATCGTTCGGCCGTCGCCATTATAGCGTAACTGTTTTCATAAATAAATCCAATAAATTCTTCCGTTTAGAAATACATCCACACGTAAAATTCACTTTGAAAGAAACACTGTTAGTGCCTGCACTAAATATACTATTTTCCTACACATCCGAAACTCTTAATTAGTTAATTATTGTAAAAAACTTTGGAGATTTGCTTTTAAGAATTGACCAATGGCGTCACGTGACCGTAATGACCTTTGGCAGTTACGAACTTCCGTTCTCTCTCGTGGAAGCCTCTAAGTCATCTATTGTTCAATAAAATTATATTTCACACCATTTAATAAACTGTTTACACAGATATATTTAACTTGTTTTTTAATGTGAATGTTGAAATTAAATTGGTAAGACTTCTACATGTGAATAATGCAAAACTTTAAAAGTCAATATACCATGACTTAGGGGTGTCAGACCAAATCATCTCTGTAGAAATGGGATATTCTAATACTAATACAACTGCATAACAAATATCATTGACTTATCATAAATGGCTTCTCTTTAACTGACATGTGTAACACAACAAGATAGTTAGTTAACAGTTTATTTACGCCAAATGAGCCGATGTGTCCCATACAGAAAATACATAAGTATATATACAGAATATAACAGTTTGTCAAAGTTTCTATTAATTTGACAATAATAGTTTTAATTCTAAAGGTACACGGGTGAATATCTATTAAGTTGACTCTAATTGACATGTTTTGACCAAGCTGGAAATTGATAGTTGTAGAATACACGTATGTCCAGTCTTTTAACTAATTGTTATTACAACATGTCACCATCTGGTCTGCATGTAAACATGTTTTTAAAGTTATATGCAACGTAGTGGTCAATTAAAACAACCTTTCCCAAGGTCATGATTTTCTTAATAGATATTCCCCTGTATTTATTTTATTCAATTTAATAAACATTTTGAGAATATATAATCATAAATATAAATATAAATATATATATATATATATATAAATATATATATATATATTTTAAGCCCATCATATTGTCACATTCCTCCCTTTCTTAAGAAATATAATTTTATATTTTAGTTAAAATCGGTGACAATATGAATGCTTACAAATTCCACAAAAAAAAAAACAATCTTCATAAACAAAATCATTTCAAAAGTTCAACAACATCTAAATGTCCAGCAATGTATAGTTCATACAATTCTTGTGTGAATAACTAAGTTGTTATATTTCTATCATAACACTCCTCGTAACATCAAATATCGGAACTTCTTAATTCTAGAAAAAGGCGCAACCATCAACTGCGGACTGTCTTCATAACCCCGACTCCGGTGAACTTCTCCTCCGATCGTCGTTGTCAACTCCAACAATCCGTTTGTTTATCTGCAACGCCAATTCCCGTCATTCAGAAGTACTGCAACTACTCCGACTATCGTTGATAACTCCGACCTCCATGTGATCCACCATCAGTCGTTGATAACTCCGACTTCCATATGATCCACCATTAGTCGTTGATATACTCCGACCTCCATGTGATCCACCATCAGTCGTTGATATACTCCGACCTCCATGTAATCCACCATCAGTCGTTGATATACTCCGACCTCCATGTGATCCACCATCAGTCGTTGATATACTCCGACCTCCATGTGATCCACCATCAGTCGTTGATATACTCCGACCTCCATGTGATCCACCATCAGTCGTTGATATACTCCGACCTCCACGTGATCCACCATTATTCGTTGATGTTACTCCTAACTGACCTAGCTTACCTACCCTGTTGATTCAGGGTCCCTGACTAGGTTGCTCAGTTATCACCGGCTGAAACAATTCAGGCAAATCTACCTGTGATGTTGTAGAACGATTCCCTCTACCAATATAAAGTTATGTGATCGTATAGTTTTATTTACATCTAAACGTCTGCGTTGTGTCCAAAAATCAAAGCCAATATCCAGTGTTCTTTTCCAATCATCATTCTTGTGGTCAGTTAACTTGATTGCTACTACTCATTGTTTGACAAGTTGAGTACTGGATAATGGTTCTTAGTGGCTGGTTCTAATAGTGGTGCAGAAGCTATTTTAACATCTCTGGAGGCAGTACCATCGCCCTCAACATTAGTTGACACCACTTGATCGACACCAAGGTATCTTGTGACTATTTGAACCTCTTTATTATTATTCATTCTCTTGGCTTAACACCTATTCTTAATATTTTGACGATATTTACAAAATAAATATAACATAATCCCTATAGTAAAAGCAACGAAAAAATAAATTAATGCATATGCCCAATTTGGCAGCCCAAAATCTTCCTCAATAGAATCTAACTGGTTCAATGGATAAATTAAATTGTCCATCGGTATGTTATCTATATTTTTTAGTTCTTTTGGTAACTTTGTCAAGTTAAATTTTGGAAAAGTTTTATGAAATGGCTTCCATATTCCTAAGTTAGTAAAGTTATATGACTTGATTAATTCTGCAAATTGGTCTTGAACTTGAAACTTACTTTTCGAATGAAGAAATGGCAAAAGCGCCATATAATCATTATTAGCAGTACATGATTCATTTAATTTTAATATATCTATAGGTGGAAAAATCTCTGTACTAGAAGTTATTTTCTGATCCGCGTATCTACAAGCTATTGCAAATTTCAAAGGTATTCTTGTAGTAATTAACCATGAACCGGATGAGATATACTTTGCCCTAGGCAGGACGGCAAAAGGTTTAACTAGGGTCTGACAATCAACCAATACTTTCCTTCCTTTTTTCATAAACAGAGGTGTGATGCATAGATTACTCAGATTAATTGGATATGTTGGACTACTTACAACACAATACGGTACTAAAGGATGCGTGCATTGTATTATTTCATTTTGATCAAATAAAATATATTTTGACCTCTCAGCATTAACTGCAATATATTCTGATTCTAGATTGAACTTAGCAAACAGGTTAACATTTGTTTTATTCGATTGCATGGGTACTGGTAAATTGAAGACTTTATACACTTCAAATTAATTATTGTAGTCTAAAAGTGGGACAGAAATGACAACAAAAATCTTCCTCTCATAGATTAAAGTAGTGCAAGTTAAAAATTGATAAAATGCCCAAAGATCTTTAGTTGGATCTTTTGGAAGTTTAAGGTATGCCGGTAATTGAGACTGTATTTCTAAAAGAAGATACCTAAACGATGTTTGATTGATGGTGCTAGGCGACAGATGACCCAATGATAACATGTTCAACTGAGAATTTAGGTGAACAAAATAAAATGTCGCCCTCTGAACCATTAACTTCATTTCACTCGTAATTACATCCAATTTTGCGTATATGTCGACAAAGGTTTCTAAATCCGCAATCTCTTTTTTTAATCCTGTTGCCAGATGACGTATAATGTTTTTTGTTCGATTGGGTTTCAGATTGGTGTTATCACCTTGAAGGTCCCAGTCATTGTTATGTCCAAAATTAATTATAGTTGTTAATTCATCTTTTACAGCCAGTTTATCTACAATTCTTTCCATCCGGAAATCTGTTGGTCCCCACCTCTTGTGGATGACCATGTATCGTAACATGATAGCAATCACCTTCAATAGTTGCATAATCATCTAAAATAGATCAATCAAAATATAATTAAATTCTAAAAAGTTGTCTGGTAATAATTTTTTGTAATTCATTTTTGCTGCATTCTTCAAACATGGTACTGAGAAGATGTTCGAACATTGCCAGTTCAAAAAGATATTGATCTCCTGACTCTATTGTGTTAAGTTCAATGACCTCCACCCATTCATTAATCAAGCGTGGTGATGAGTTAATTTCTCCACCCACAGATGGATTACAAGTGTCCATACACTGCCGAAAAATCCTTGTGAGAACAGTAATTTCTGCCTTTATACATACTTTCAAATATAAGGTATTATAAACCTTCTTAGTTTAAACATATTTTATTTGCTAAATATCAGCAAAATGGATGAGACACAAGTAAATCATACTTATGAAGTCTTCTCCATATTACAATACAAGTATATATACAATAATAACATTATGAGCATGCATGTAAAGCTAACAAATTCATAAATATTATACGAACTATAAATAAAAAGAAAAAAGAACAAGAAGAATGGAAAAGGAGGAAAAGAAAAAGAAGCAAATTATATTTTCTGTGATGTTGACTTAGGTTTGATGGTGATGATCATCCGTGCCGGTAGCAATAATATTTTATGAAGGTACTAGAAATCTGTTAGACCTTTTAATAAAATCTTGAACATGTTTGAAAATTAGGAGATTTTGTTCATTCGAAAGTTCAAGATCTCCGCAAGTTAATAGTTTAGTATCAATAATAAAGTTTTCAGTAAGCCAATTAAGATTGTTAAGTAAAATTTCTCTACATGTAGTGTATTTTGGGCAAACTAAAAGAAAATGATGAACATCCTCAATATCAGACCCACACTGACACGAAGGATCCAGTATAATGTTAGCTTTGAAAAGGTCAGAGTTCAAAAATGAAGCGGAACATCGCAATTGAGTTAAAATAATATTCAGTTTCCTCGGACCGTACATATAATACGGCGCAACTCTACTCTGAACACTTTTATTTTTCAATTCTCTCTTAAATTTAGATATAGAGTCGGTGTTTCGAATTTTTAAGTCAAGCTTATTCCATTCTCGTATTGTGGATGGAATAAAAGATTCAGTGGTAAGGGAAAGTCTACAAAATGGAACAATGATATTTTGACCGTTTCGCAACGGATAGTTGGTTGTACTTTGTATACATGGGGGGACAAGATTACACAGGTACTGAGGTGCATGTTTTTTATTTATATTATAAAACATCTGTAATTTTCTTCTTCTTCGTCTTTCATATAAAGATTCCCAGCCAACCTCAGAGTACAGAGTATCAGTTTTAGTGAAGATTGGTAGACCTGTTACAATTCTTGCGGCTTCCAATTGCAAATTTTCTAATTTATTTGAATAACATATCCCACAATTATCCCACACTTCCGTGGCATATTCAAAAATGGGTCTAATAAAAACTAGATAAAGTTTTTCTAAATTATTACGAGACAGTCGATATTTAAGTTTACGCAGAACATTAAGGTGTTTCTTTACACTTGTAATTATACTTTCAATATGATTGTTCCATTTTGCGTCACAACTAAAGGTAACTCCCAGGTGCTTATGCGATGTATTTATAGGGATAGTTTTATCATTTAGGGAAAAGTTGAGATCTGGTATCTCAATATTTGAAAATATCATAATTTCTGTTTTATCAGGATTAAATGACATAAGCCATTTAGTTGACCAAACATCCAGCTCTTTCAGGTCGCGGTCGATCACAGATTTAATCTGTTCACCATCGCTACCGGAATAACTGAATGAAGTGTCGTCTGCAAATAGCCTACACAGCGATGTAAGCTTATCAGCAATATCATTAATATATAAAACAAAGAGAAGAGGGCCCAAAACAGATCACTTAGGTACACCTGCTAACACATTACAAAAGAAGGAGGACGAATTATTCAGTACTACTCTTTGTTTCCTGTCATGCAGATAATCTTCAAACCACTGTAATAAGGTTCCATCAATACCATAGGCTTTTAGTTTGTGAATAAGACCTCTATGCCAAACTTTGTCAAACGCTTTAGAGAAATCACAGAATACAAAACAGTTTATTTCTTTTTTTTCCAAAGAGTTTAAGATGCAGTTGTATATTTCTAAAAGTTGATGGACGGTTGAATTTTGGGGAAGAAATCCGGATTGATATTCATAAATTAATTTGTTAGCGTGTAGATGATTATACAAGTGCTTAAAAACAACTCTTTCCATTACTTTTCCAACACAACTAATAAGAGAAATTGGTCTGTAATTTGAAGGCAAGGATGAATCCCCCTTTTTGAAAATAGGTATTAAATTAGCTATCTTCCAACTGGTTGGATATTTGCCTTCTCTTAAAGATTTATTGAATATAATGTTTAGCGGAACTGCAACCTTTTCCGGACATAACTTAAGCATTTTATGGCTGATCACATCTGGGCCTGATGCCTTGTTTGGATCTAATATCTGGATAATATCTATGATTTCTTGTGTATTTATTTTGATTTCCGAAAATTTACTATCAGTTTTTGTTTTAAATTCGGGTAAATTTACATGTTCGTCATCAAGTTTTGAAATCATACTAAAATATTTGTTTAATAAGCTGCATTTATCCTCATCTTCATATACGACATCGTTTAGTCCATTATCATTTATAATATTTTGGAGAGGGGGTATGTTGTCCGAATTTTTATTTGATTTAATCAACATTTTCATAAGTTTCCAATACGTTTTTGAGTTCGGGGAGTTTTCTAGTATAATACTGTCCAAATTTGTTTCAAACTTTTGTTTGGCTATTTTTTTCATATTATTTACTTTATTTCTCTGTTGCTTGTACCTCAAAATGTCATTTTCAGTCTTGGATTTAACTGCCTTTTTTCTTAATCGGTCTCGAATCCGAATTTCTCGTCTTATGTCGTTATTGAACCAGTGTTTGTCGTTATGTCTTACAGTTATTAGTTTAGTAGGGATACACTCTTTGGCTATTTTCAAAAATTCTATTGTAAATATTTCACACAACTCGTTGGTGTTTTTAGTGTCCGGAAGCACTGTGTTCCAGTCTATTTCATCTAACTTCTCCGCAAATTTTGATTCATCAGCCCTATCATAGAGCCATATTTCTCTTTTAAAAGATTTAAAATCGGACATTGGACATTCGAGAAATGCAATAGGTGCATCATGATCACTAATATCGGATGGGGTTTTTAGAACATTAGAAAAGGAACATGTCATAGAGTCACTTATTATAATCGGATCTAGCAGAGTGCTACTATGGTCCGTTATTCTAGTAGGTAGCTTAATTACATTGGTTAGATTGAACAAATTTAATGTGTCAATCAGTTTGTTGTTGTGCGCTGTAAGTAAGTCAGAGTTCAAATCGCCCGTAATAACCATCCTCTCATTGACCTGTAATCCCATTCCGATTGCATGATTTAAACGTGTCCAGTAGTTATTATCTGAATTAGGCGATCGATAAGTGTGACATAATAAAAATGTTTGGCCTCTAACATGGATATTTACAAAAAGGGATTCATCGTCTATTGTTTCGAGTGCATTAATGCGTTTAAGTCCAATACCATCTTTAACATAGATAAGTAAACCACCACCAAAGCTATTTCTATCTTTTCTTACGATATTTGAAGAGAAAGAGTCTAGTTGTATGTTGTC